ACCTACATAAGTTTGTGTGTACGTTAGCTAAATGAGCATACGACACGTTTGTATGTTTATATATTTGTATGTGTGTTTGTTTATATGTGTGTTTGTTTAAGCGTGTTAATACTCGGGCTCGATTTTATCAAATGTTTGTGTATATTGGTTTGTATGTTTGTGTACGTCCGTATGCATGCTCTACGTATGCACAAACAGTGTGTGTATGTGTTTGTATGTTTCTATGCGTGTTTGTTTATTTGCTTGTATATTTGTTTGTTTGTTTGTTTATGTCTTGATGTGTCACATTACGAAGTAATGACGTCATCGTCAACAATAACATCAGCAACAACAACAACACCAACATCAGCAACAACAACAGCATCATCATCAACAACAACAGCAACAACAACAGCAGCATCATCATCAACAACAACATTTTCATCATCAACAACATCACCAACAACAGCAACGGCCATGCAATCAACACCACAAATTTTCATTGGCAGATTAATTAAAGCAAACAAAGGAAGACAAAAATCAAATATTTATTAGACACACACACACATTCGCACAACAGCACACACAAATGCATGCGGAGAGAGAACAAGAGAAGGAGAGAAGGGAAAGAAAAAGAAAAAGAGAGAAAGGAAGAGAGAAAGAGAGAAAGAGAGCGAGAGAAAGGGAGAGGGAGAGAATGACGAGTAACTTCGAAAATATGAGATGTAAAATAGATTGAATATGTTTACGAGAGGGAAATTTGAAATAAGAAAAAACTAGATAGATAGAAGGAAGAAAATGAAGTAAGAGAGAGAGAGAAGAGAGAGAGAGAAAAAGAGAGAGGCGGATTAACTCTTTAATATCCATTTATTTGCCGGGATATCAATAGGTCAAACTGGATTATTTCATCATTCGGTTGCTGCTGATGATGACGTTTTTGTGGTTTTTTGTAAAGAGAGGATGGTAAGAGCGAACGAACCAATGAATGGATGGATGAATGTATAGATGAATGAATGTAGAGATGAATGAATGAATGAATGAATGAATGAATGAATGAACGAACGAACGAACGAACGAATGAATGAATGAATGAATAAACGAATGAATGAATGAATGAATGAATGAATGAATGAATGAATGAATGAATGAATGAATGAATGAATGAATGAATGAATGAATGAATGAATGAATGAATGAATGAATGAATGAATGAATGAATGAATGAATGAATGAATGAATGAATGATGAATGAATGAATGAATGAATGAATGAACGAACGAACGAACGAACAAACAAACAAACAAACGAACAAACAAACAAACGAACAAACAAACAAACGAGCAAAAAAACAAACAAATAATCGAATAAATTATTAAATTGATCAATAAATAGTTATATAACTATATTTATACTATTTTAACTTATACCAAAGTACCAATACACATAAACATTAACGATATAATTATTTTTCTTTGTAATTTCTTGTACGTCCACTTTTAAAATAAACAAAACATCGTTCTTATACTTTTTTAAAATCTCTAAAATATTAATTTTAAATATATTTTTGTAATTAATTTAAATTTATTAATTAAATTTAATGGCGGAAATTATCAAAAAGCGAAGAAAAAATGTCCGACAAAGACAAGATGATGACGAAGATGATGAAGATCAGATTGAAATAATTTCGTATGAGATTTGCTCTTTAAATTTTAAATTTAATTTATAATATTTTTTTTTAATTTATTTAATTATTTTATAAACAAAATTATATTATCTTTAAGGTAATGCTAATAAACGTTCCTTAATTGTTTTCTTAAAGTTTTTTGCCAGTTTTCACTAGTAGCTACATCTAGTTTCTAGTAGGTAGTTACTCTCCAACAATTTAATAATTTAATTTAATTTTTCTATTTTAGTTACTAATCACCTTGTAGTCTAAATAAAAGTAAATTGTTAGTGTAGGTTGGGGCTTGTTTAAGATTTCTAAGTTTATAAAAATGAAGCGATTATTGATAATTTTATTAGAAATAAATTTTTATTCAATTTTTTTAAACAAAGAGCCATCCTAGAAGAGACCAAGGAACTACAAAAATTACGAAAAAAGCCAAATGGTGTGAGTATCGAAGACTTGGCCACCATCAAAACTGAGACCAAAGAGAGAAAGAATGTAAAATTAAATATTTTTTTTCAAAAATTAAAAAATTTTTTTTTTTAAAAAATCATCAATTCGAAAATGGTTCTTAAAACATTTCAGGGGTCTGTTTCATAAATAAATAAATTAACTGACTAAACCAAATGAATAATTGGCTCTACTAATCAACAAGCTAGCATATAATTTGTATTTTATCAAGCAGCCAATCAGCCAATTAATCAATCAGTTGATCATTCTTTCAATAAATCAATCAATAAGTCAATTAGGTAACTTTTTAAAACAAATTTTTTACCCGACAGATGGACCATTTGAAGTTAAAAACAGGTGGCTTTGTTGACATTAAGAAATTGAAGAAAGAGTAGGTTTTTCTTCTTTCAGTCTATCATTTTATCACCATCATCATCACCATCACTATATATATATATATATATATATATAAATATATATATATATATATATATATATATATCATCATCACCTGCATCATCAGTGATGTTGTGGCTTTGACATCATCATCAATGTACATCGTCACGTTCATTAATATAATATTGTTATTGTAACTAGTGTAATCATTTTCATCACTATCATCATCGCCGTCATCATCATCATCGTCATCTTCTTCACCATCATCATCATCTCTTTCACCATTATCATCATCATCTTTTAAAAAGATTATCAAAAGTCGAAGACATTGATCAGATAGGGACGAATTTCGCCATGGAAACCAATCAGAGGGATGAAGACGCCATGATGTAAGTGCCACTGCTGCTGCTGATGATGATGATGACGATGGCGGGTTGATGATAGTTGTCATTATTATTATAATAATAATTATGATTAATATTATAATTAATTATGGCCAGGTTAAATTACGTGGAGGAACAGATGGCAAAGTATAATGGAGCTAAGGAGGAAGAAGATGAAAAAAAAGAAGAGAGGTGATGGTGATGATGACGACGACGATAATGATGATGGTGATTAAGACAAAATGGATTGCAATAACCACCAAGAACACATTACACAATTATATCATAAGTATCATCTTCTTCATTATCATACCACCCCATCAACAACGAGACATTACCACGTCATCATTACGTCATCACCAGCCACAACCAGAGCCTATCAGAAGACATCTTATTTCAGCTACCGGAAAGCATCAAATTCCATCCATCATCTAAAAAGAAGACAGAAGAGTCCATATCCAATCAGATGCTCTCTGGCATACCTGAGGTCGACCTGGGCATTGGGTTAGGGGCTATTTTTGTACTCTCTCACACACACACTCACACACACACACACACACACACACACACACACACACACACATACTTGCATATATACACACACAGTTGTGGAAGTATTAAGCCAGTTATAGCAGCATCAACATCAGTAGTAACACACATACATACTCACACATACATACTCACACATACATACTCACACATACATACTCACACATACATACACACACATACATACACACCCATCTAGGGTGAAAATAAAGAACATAGAAGAAACAGAGGCGGCCAAACAAAGATTAATGAAAGAACGACTGATGCAGCGAGACAAAGGAATCTCCCACTTCGTACCAACTAATGTTGCAGTCAACTTCGCCCAACACAACAGATGTACAGTCTTCTGATTTCTTCTTTATGATATCCTGTCTTTGTTGTCATCCGATTCCTTTGTTTGCATATTTTGTCTTTGTTAATTTTATTTTAAAAATTATAAAATTTTCTTAGTTATAAATAAATGAATATTCATTTGTAGACAACTTGGAAGATAGTTCTCAGCCAAACAGGCGAATGTTGTCATCACTTGCAACCGCCACGCCAAAACCAACGCCGCAGTTTCGAGTCGGAGATGCGGAAAAACCGGATACTTGTTATAGTTAGTTTCGCTTTCATTTTATGTTTTTATGTGTGTATGTATGTTTGCTTGTTTGAATGTACGTGGTCGTTCGTCTACTTGTATGTATGTCTGCTTATTTGAATGTACGTGTAACGTATGTGTAAATTTTACTTCAGGTTCAACATCGCGACCGACGTCGCTGGTGGCAACGAACGCGACGACCTCAGGAGCTGCCAATGAGAAGGCCACAGACGACTTCCACTACGAAAAATTCAAGAGGCATTTAAAAAGATTTTGATAGAAAACTATCGACAAAGATGACAGTACTACAGCTATTATTACTCACATTTCAACTACCGCTACTACTACTACAACCTCTATTACTACTACTACTACTACTACTACTACTACTACTACTTCTAGTGATAGAAACCATAAAATATGATTAATATTTAGAAAATCTTAGAAGTTGTTTTCGGTTGTTAAAGAGCAAACACATTGATTCGGTCTAATTCCTTTCAATTTTAAAATTTTAATGAATTCAATTTAATTAATTAAATAATTAATTAATTCATTAATTTGAAATGATTAAAAAATGAATTTAAAAAAATGGCGAATTCTCGAATTCTATAACTGAAAGTTAATTAAAAAAACAAAAACGAACTGCAAAGTATACATACATATATATATATGTATACATACATATATATATATATATATATATACGATTGATAGAATGTTCATGTTATCAACTTCTACATTTAAATGAATTAATAAATAATAATAATAAATTTATTAATTATAAATTAATTTTTATTTATAAGATTAATATTCTTAGACTTCTTTTTTTTATGTTATATATATATATATATATATATATATAACAAAAATTGTAATAATACTTAGTTTGATCATTCTTACGATATATATATATATATATATATATATATATATATATATATATATAATAACCAATAGCAGACATAATAATAAGCAGCAATAAAAATATTGATAACTTAGTAATCATTTTTACATTTATTTCTTAATTTCGAGATAATAAATAAATAAAATCATGGAAATTAATTAACTATTTAATTAATTGAATTAATTTAATCGATTGACTGAAATTATGGTTGGCACAAAAGGCTGTCTTGTTAAAAAATTTTCTGAGAAGAAATGAAAAAAAAAATGTCGACCAACAAATTATAATTAAATAATATTAATAATTATACAAATTATAATTAGTAATAATAAGAAGAATAGAATTATTATCATATTATTAATAGTAGTATTATTGTTTATTTTATCATTTTATTTAAATTATGTTACTCTAACAAAGTTACCGTCCGTAATGGGAAAGTTTTTAGTTTTTGTATAATAATTTATATTATCACATTTGGAAATAATAAATAATAAAATTATAATTATAACCAATAATAATAATTACAAGCATAAAAAACAATTAAAATAATAATTTAAAAATTTTTCGTATTCATCACCCAAGCTTATTAAACGTCAATTAATTATAATAATAATCAATTAAACAATCGTAATATTGCTTCGTAACCTCTATAAATTAATATTAATGCAACTGAATGCACAAACTCTAACATATATGTACAAACATACAAACACACACACATGCAAACAAACATACACATACAAACAAACACACACACATACAAGAATACATACAAACACAAATACACACACAACCAAACAAACACACACACACATACAAGGATACACACATACATACAACATAAATACACACACAACAAACACACACACACATACAAGAATACACACATAACATAAACATACAAACACACATAAATACATACACACACAACAAAGTGAAACCAGAGATGTTATACGGGGTTCAGAATGAATGAATCTTAACGACAAAATCATCCTATCTTTTTCGAAACCAGCTTTAACTTCTTATAACTTACATTAAAAGATTCAAAGCAACATCACAAATAATAAAAACAATAATAACAATAATAATAATATAAGCAATAATAACAATAGCGCGAATATTTTTACTAATAAGCTTTCAAAACCCTACCAGAATTCAATCTATATATCAAAGCCGGCAAACACAACAGAATAACTTAACATTTCACTGTGGGATAATAAAAATATTTAATAATCGTAATAATAATAATTATTTATAATTAATTATGATTATTTATTATCATCATACAAAGCGATTCCTATATAGTAACAATCCAACATCTGAAGGGAATAAACGAAATTAAATTAATTATTATTTTTATGTGTTTAGTTTTTATCAAATATACATACATACATACATAGAGTTGTGTATTAATAATACATACATTCACACGCACATACATACATACACACATTCATTCATTCATACATACATACATACATACATAGATACATACATACATTCATACACACAAATAAAAATGTATGTAAACACTCGAACGCAAAATCAAACGCTCATCTCTGACATGTATGTACATTCACTAGAGACGCACTGAGTTCAGTCGTATTTTTCTATTGTAAATAGTGGGTCAACCAACCAACCAACCAACTATCCAACCAACCAACTATCCAACCAACCAACTAACTATCCAACCAACCAACTATCCAACCAGCCAACTATCCAACCAACCAACTATCCAACCAACCAACTATCTAACCAATTAACTATCCAACCAACCAACTATCCAACCAGCCATGCCACTATTCACTGCACCTCTTAACATCTATTCAACATAAAAACACAAACCAACACAGTAGCACATACAAACAAATATACAAAAAAAAACGAAAAAATATATATACACAGATACACACAAAAAACATACAAACACACACACACACGCATACATACAAAACAAACAAACACATACAGACACAAATCAAGAAGGCTTCGTTTCGATGAGTGAGATGACAAATTTCTAAGTAATAAAATAAAAATTATAGTAAAAATGAATGAATGAATGAATGCTTCAAAGAACAAGAGAACGAACGAATGAATAAACGAATGAATTGAAAAAAAGACAAATTTATGAAGCGCTGGATAAAAAATGACATAAAACTAATGTGCCACTGAGCTACTGAATGAATGAATGAGTGAAAAAACAATAAAAGAATGATCTCAAGACCCACTGTGAAGAATGAAGGAATGAATGAATGAGTAATTTTCAGGTGAATAAAAAGAAAGAACGAATGAAGGAACGAATGAATGAATGATAAAAACGACTCTCTGAACGAACGAGTGAATGTGTAATATGAAAATAAGTTACATAACGAAAAGATGACAACTTCAAAATGATGATAATAATAATAAGAAAGAATAATAATAATAATAAAGAATAATAATAATAAAGAATAATAATATAGAATAATAATAACGATAACGAACGTATTAGCAACTGTTTTTTTTTCACCAAAAAAAATTTTTTTCCAATAATGATGAGAAAGATTGTCTTTTTGCATATTACAAAAACATAATCTTCTATATACAGATATATATATATCTATATCTATACTGATATATATCTATATATATAGATATATATCCATATACACGTGAATGAAAGCTTGAGTATATGAATAGAATGCATAAACTGAAACACCATATTTTTTTCTTTCAGTTAATGCTATCAAAATCTATTTTTATTATTATTATTACTATCATGTATATGTATACACACACACACACACACGTACACAAGTATATACCTATATATATATATCTATATATATATATACATATATAGCTATGTTTTTATTCCATCTCTATACAATATAAATTTTATGACCTCATAGAATTATATATAAATATAACATATTAACTTTTCTCTGTTTAATAATAACCATAATAATAACATATTATACACATACACACATATATATATATTATATATATACCAAACGACTCAAAGAATAAAACATTAAGTGAAATTAAACTGGAAAATCATAAAAATTCTCGCTTCCATCTATCTTCATTATCTTTCTTTCGTTAAGTAACGTTCTTTATATATATATAACTTTTGGTAAACCCAAATAGAGGAAAACAAAATTTTAAAAACTTAAAAAAAAAAACCACTTTTTCATTCATCAGTAACTTCGTCTCTAATGTTGTTGATTTCGCTGATGAGTAGAAATTGAAAAGTTGACCGAAACGGTAATAATTATAATAATAATTATATTAAATAATTATTAATTATTTAAAAACGGAAATAAGACTTGAACAGAAAAAATGGCTGACTTGTCTGCCATCAACTTTTTTTCATATATCAGAAAGATTTCTTTGTTTTTTAAAAAGCTTCTCCCATGTAAATATATATATATGTATTATGTATATATAATTATGACTTTTATAATTATAATTTTCAACATTAATTATTAAGAAAACCAAAGTAAACGGTGAAAAATAAAAATCATTTCCATACTCTCTCTCTTTCTCTCCACTGATTCTCTCTCTCTCCTCTCTTTCTCTCTCTCGTTACTCCTTAAAATTAAACATACAAGTTTTTATTATTATTATTGATGTTTTATTCTTTTTCTTCTGCTTTTAAAAACGTACAAAATGAACGATCGATAAGTTTGTACAATGCATTTCAAATTAAAAACACCATAACACACACAAACAAACAAACGTATATACAGATACTCATAGAAACATCAGAAGACACACACGCCAACACACACAAGCACATTAGGCTATAAAAAGCACACACACACGCACACTCTCACACACACACACACACGCACACAGAATACCATAATGACCAGCAAATACTTTCAAACTGGACACTAGTGTATTACAAGACAAAACCAAACCTACACACATACACATGCATAATACCCTAAAACCATGTCAATTGATTTAGAAAATAGATAAAGGCGTACACTTATACATACATAAATACATACATACGAATAGGTACACACACACGTGCGCACGCATACACACATAATTATACAATACCCTCGAGACAATGTTGAGACGAAGAAATGACGATATCTTAATTTCATACCTGGAAGAAATACAAACAATGAACGGATAAAAAAAACACATACAAACAAACCATTGAAAAACATACACACAGGCATACATACAGGACCAAAATACACCAATACACATACCAAAACGTACAGATACAAAACATACAACTGTAAATAAATATAAAAATAACTAGGTCAAACCTAGTGACCTATCTCGACCCCAGAACCGATCTACTTCCATTAATTAACCTCATTACCAGCTTCAAACACGTCGTTAAGATCAGCAACAACAGCAGCAGCAGTAGCGTTTTTAGCTTTTCCGTCATTTAAATCCTCCTGGACATTATTGTTCACATCACTGCAAGATCTGTTGGTACCGTTACAAACCATATCATTATTATTGTTACTATTATTACTGCTAGTGGTGACGCCACAACTACCACCGCTGCTACTACCACTGCAGTAATCTGAAGTGGATCTCGAGCGAGAAGATGATCTTTCCTTACTACTAATAGTGTCTGAAGAGGCAAAGCGTCTCTTGAGTTTGAAGCCCTTCGTACCGTCTGGCCCACGCGGCTGTCTGATGGTGATAACCCTCTGCGTCTGGTCGTCTGAGACGCTCTTGATTCGCGAGATCAGACGCTCCGGTCTAGGTCGGTCGCTGGCGGGAAATTATTTTTTCGAATTTTTAAATTGATATACGCCAGCATCAATCTGTCTGTCTGTCCGCATGTTTCAGTTACTCATTCAGTGGCATCACGAATTGAAAAAGGTGCAAACATGAACAAGCGTACTAGCGAAAACATACACTCCAACGTACCTAGCTTTCCTGACGTTAATAGCCATCTTGACCCCATTATTATTTAGGACAACAAACTCGACTTCATCGCCGACTGCAAGTTCACTTACGTTCTGTGCATCTTTCGAGCTGAACGTTAACTTGCATCCCTGATCTGTTTCGTAACTCAGCAGGCCACCCTATTCATTGGTGTGGATGAGTAAGTGTGTGTGTGTGTGTGTGTGTGTGTGTGTGTGTGCTATGTTGTGTTTGTTTGTTTGCATGTGTGAGCGTTCATGTTTGTGTGTGTGTGTGCTATGTTGTGTGAATGAATGTATGTGTGTGTGTGTGTGTGTGTGGTTGTGTCTTGTTGTTATGTTAATATATTAATATATATCAATAATTATGCTAAATATTTCGATGTTTTTATTAATAATATTATTATCACACAAGAAAACAATAACCAAAATACTAACAACAACTAAGACAACAACAACTAAGACAACTAAAACCAAAACAGCAACAACCGCAACAGCAATCTAACAGTTTCAGTTAGACTTTCAATCCTTGCTTGCACAAACTTCCTAGTCGAGGCGACCCTATAGGCCCACTTCCTTTTCTTAACCCCCTCCACTACCGTTGCAGTACCACCAGCGCTGCTACTACTTACGCCACAGTTACCACCGCCACTGGTATTGGACGCAGTATTGTTGCCACCACTAGCAGCAGCAGTAGTAGCAGCAGCAGCAACGCAACCATTGTTATTGAAGTTGCCGTCAGCGTTTGAGGAGTTGGCGTTCACCACATTGGTCGAGTCTGAGCGATAGAAATCCGGCTTGTGGTTGCTTACTACAACCTCTATCACCTTGTGTTTGGGGAGGTTTCAAGTTTGTTTTTTTACCAAATTTTGTTTGGTTTGGTTAAGTAGGTAAACAACATTAGAATAATTAATCAACACATATCTAACCGAACGATTTGTAGCAAGCCTAACACTCAATCAACCATAATGATCAATCAACCATAATGATCAATCAACCCTAATGATCAGTCAGTCATATTGCTCAATCAATTTTAATCAACAATCAATCTTAATCAGCAATCAATCGCCGTGATCGCAATAGCCACAAATCACCACCACAACTACAAACACACACAAACAAACACACACACACCACAGCGACAACCTACCTGAAACCTGACAGAATCCCCCCTAGCCATCAGAGTCTCTCTCTTATCCACCAGGCTCATAATACTGAACGGGTAGATGCAGGCATTGTTTTCGCCACAAGACATTCGGTGTTGCAGCTGCTGCTGTGGTGACGTTTTTGTCGCTGATGACGTCGTAATGACGTCATCGCTACCGTGCGCCGGTGACGACGAAGAGTTATTGTCACTAGTAACAGTACCACTGCCACTGCTGCTACTACTATTGTTAGCATTAACTGAATTTTTGGTGGTCGTCGCTGATGATGAAGTAGCTGCACTATTATTATTATTATTGTTATTATTATTATTATTGGCAGCAGCAGTAGTGCTGTCCGGTTGATCGTAGTCGGTAATCTGCTGTATTAGTCCGTAGTAGTCGGGGCCGTCGGTGGCGTGGATACCTCGTATGATGCGGCCTTCCAGGATGGTTGACGTCACTTCCTGTTCGTTTTTTTATATTTTCATTTTTTTAATCTTTTTTTTTTACAATTCGCTCTTCAGAGGTATCAACAATGAAGAAGGAGTGTGTGTGCGCGCGCGCAAACGCAAGTGAAACAACAACAACAAACTACACAGAGATATTTTAAAAATTTCAAAGGTTCTCTAAAGCATTCAAGCCAAGTCAGAGCAGCGACTGGAGATCCGTGCACACAAACCACCACATATCCAATCTTAATCGGATCACTTTACACGCCCATGTCTAAATAAAAAAAGGAAACGGAGATAGGAAAGTGAAACAAACCCCGAGCGGGATACTCTTGTTGGGGATGCGTTTGATGTTCTCGGCACTGATTCTACCGGATTTGTTGCAGACGCTGAACTCCACTTCGTTGCCTATGTCCAGTCTGTCGACGTCACCATCGTAGTTGCTGGTTGTTGTTGTTGTTCGGGCGCAAATTATTTAATAAGAATTGAACTATTGCGAAATCAACGGAAACGTAAGAGTTACTGGATTCATGGTCAGTCTCTTGTCTTTTAAATGTTTTCATCTACGCTAACAAACATTAAAAGACTCGACGTACTTATAACTAAATGAATGGTAGGATTCAAAAACACCAAACACCAAAAACCTAAAATGAAAATAGATCTCCTTCTCGTGATCAGCCGTCTCGATGAACCCAAACCCTTCTTTAATAGTTACAACGAATCCCCTCTCCCTATTGGTCGATTTTGAACTAATGACCTTGACATTGATGGCTACCTTGGTCTTGTTTTTCTGACATTCCGAGATCTGAAATTCGACCTTGCGAATGGGGAAATAGATTTCTGTTCAAATAAACACTCCCGAAAAAATATGTTATTATCATTCCAATTCATCGTCGTAGTCATTATTACCACGATCATCATCATAATCACAATCAACATCATCGGGACCACAGTCATCATCATCATCATCATCATCTCCTTCCTCTTCCTCACCATCTCACCTTCTCATCAAGTTTAGGCAGATTGCCGTCGACAATGGAGCAGCTGTAGGGAATCATCTGCTTCGTGCCCTCAATCTCGTACATTATTATGCCAGGGTCTGGATCCCTGCCACCTGATTGGTCAGAAATTTTTTGGGGATTTAGTTTAGTTTAGTTTTGTAATAGGTTAAATTTAGTAATAGGTTTAGTTCGTGAAGTAAACTAATGAATGAGTGAACGAATGATTGAATAATAAATCAACGAAAAAAGGAATGATACTTTGATGGATTGAGTTGAATGAATGAGTGAGTGAATGAATGATGATTGAGTGAAAGAATGAATGAATACGTGAATGAACAAAAGAGAGTAAGATAGAATTGGACAATCATCAAACCAATGAAGCAGTCGATCAACCAGTTAGCTGACCAACAGATCAACCAAGAAACCTAATAAAAAAAGCTAACTAACTAGAAACTAACCCAACAAAGGCCTAGAATTTCCAGCTTCTTTCTGCACGATGCCCAGATGTTTCTCCAGACAGCTTGTCAGAGAGACGTCTATGGTTCCAGACGGGAGGTGTCTGATTCTGGTTGCAACCTGTCTAGACGGGTTTGTCGGGTCCTAAGGAGAAGGTGGTTTGTCAGCTTGTTTATTTACACGTTCATCTATTCATTCATCCGTTGATTTATCAATCTCTTCACTATTTAATTAACCAACCAACCAATCAGCCAAATCTATCAACCAACCAACCTGTATAACAGTGAACTCCAGTTCATCCTGAACTCTGACCTCTTGGTTTGTGTTGAGCAGTTCACTGAAGTGAAAGAACATTCTGGCCTCTCTGTCAACGCACCTTATGAAACCGAAACCTTCTTTCAACGTTGTCACGAAACCCTGGTTATGTACAAGTGTGCTTTTGTATGTGTGTTTGTGTGTGTATATATGTGTGTGTATGTGCGCGTGTGTGTCGTGCGCGAAACGCGTTATTGTGTGTGCGTGAGTATTGCTGCTGGGCGTGTGCGCGCGAGTGTGTTCAAGTGTGTACATTATTACTTATGTTCAAGTAAGCATGTTTTTGATTAGTAAATGTGTGCAAATCATAAATTCATTCCCTCCCTCCCTCCCTCTCTCCCTCCCTCCCTTTCTCTCTTATGCATACACGCATATATATACATGCATATATATACAACACCAAAAGATATAGAAACCCTCACAAAACTACTCACTTTCTCCCTCTTCTCTTTTGTAACAATGAAGGTATCGTCGACCAGCCTGATGTTGGTGGCGTGCTGGACGCCGTCACGACGATCGGTGGCGATGCAGAACTGCACAATGTCGCCGACGTTCATCGTGTAGTCTCCCATCGGATCCTTCTCACCGAATGGAATCTCTATGGAGCTGTCAGGTGAGTGAGTGAGGCAGCAGTGTTATTCGTCGTCTTCAGTCATGCAAGAACATAGTTGTCCCCAGTAATGATGTTACAAAGCACAAAACATACATCAGTGATGGTGATTAAAGTGACGTATCTGGTAATTAGTATGACCTATCTGTGTCTTTTCAACGTTTTAATGATCCCAATTAATCCGATTGTTTGAAATTTAAAAATTAAATTAGGAAAATTTAAAAACTATTCTCAACAGCTCGGTAAATATTCTCCAGCACGTTTTAAATAGAAAACTTTTGTAATCTAAAGCATGTAGGATTCAGCTAGACTGTTTTTGTAACTGTTGTATCAAAATGAATCTAGTTTAAGGTTAGCGTCGACTCAACACATTTGCAAGCCAGCAAACGGGTAGAAAGACAGACAGGCCATTATTGAAGCTGGCAATCCTTTAATTACTTTAATTGCTTAATCGTTTCAATGCAATCTTACAGTACAATGGTTGTTTATACTTAATTGCAGCTTCGCTATACCTGGATTTAATTAACAGTCACATGAGATATTTGTTTGTTCAACTGGACCAACAAATTTTGTCATACATGTTTTCAGAGGAATCTATCCATCCTTCAGATATATATCACATCCATCCTTCAGATATATATCACATATATATCACATATCACATAGATATCTCATAAAATATATACATACATGTGTATATCAATGCTTGATGTGTGTCTGCTGTTGTTTTTCGTGTGGGAATATGTAAATGTAACAGCTAGAGAATTATAACAAATATATAAATACGTATATTAATTCTGAGTGAAGATTTCAAATTATAACGCCATCGTCGTCATCGTTATTTCAATCACCACCACCACAACCGCCACCACCAGCACCACAAGCAGCAGCACCACCACAAGCACCACCACCAACCCAGTAACAGTTTCATAGACTATCCTGCCGGCCAGCGCATCATTGATCTTCTTGAGGGAGGCCATCTTGAGGGTCTTCTTAATCTTCCCGCGCCTCCAATCCTTGGCCACGTCCTCGAAGATGACCGTTCCAGGAGGAAGTTTCGTGATGCCTACCGCCACGTCTTTGTTCTGATTGGTCAGAAGAAAACACGGAAGACATATGTTAAATCGTAGAAAAAAAACAGCTGGTTAGGTTTCAAATAAAAGACCATTGGATAGTTCTAAAAAATTCCAATCATGACGAACATTTCTGGTCTGAATGCCAAACTGGACGTCATCTCCGAGGTTGAGTTCGTCAATCTCACCGTCGAACTCACTGAAATGGAAGAATATCTCCTTCACGACGTCAGCTCTTTCTATGAATCCGTAGTTGTCCTTCATAGAGCATACAACGCCTGTGTGTGTGTGTGTATGTGCGCGTGTGTATGCATTTTAATGTGTGTGTATATGTGTTAATGAGTGTGTGTGAGTGTGTATGTGAGTGTACGTATGTGTATGTTAATGTGTGTCTGTCTGTGTGTATATGTGTGTGCGTGTGAGTGTGCGTTAATGTGTGTGTGTGTGCGTGTATAGTACATTTGTGTACGTGTTAATACATGTATATATCCAAGTAGATATCTCCAAACATTGAAAAAATAACACAGGCAAGCAAAAGTTATTCCACATACTATTTCAATATTTTATAATATATCTATATATCTATAATATATCTAAGTTTTATAATATATCAATGTATATATAATATATCTAAGTTTTATAATATATCTATATATCTATGATATATCTAAGTTTTATAATATATCTATAATATATCTAAGTTTTATAATGTATTAATGTATATATAATATATCTAAGTTTTATAACATATCTATATATCTATGATATATCTAAGCACCTTGATAGCTATCAGGGCATAACGCGACCACGTGACCACCGACGTACGACTGCTTACGGACTCTTCTGGCTCTTATGTTTCCATTTCTATGTGGCACGGAGAAAAATAAAAAAAAATAAAAATTAATAATTTTCATTTCTTTGGTTGGCCGGAAACAATGATAAATAAATGATATATATATATATATATATATATATATATATATATATATATATATATATATATATATATATATATATATGACAAATAACAAAATGATGGATAAACAATAATTGAGAATGATAAATAAACAATTACATGATCACCATCACCCTCTCTTTATAATTCCTACTCTAACATTCAGCATCATAGCAGTCGTCATCTATCAATATAGCCACCACTACAATCTCAACATACTCAGTATCTCTTGGCCCAAAAGTACTACATCATCATCATTAATTTAAATCACAATTGGTATCATCATCATCATCGTCACAACTGTTACTACAATCATCACCGACCTTTCATCAGTTGATAAGTAGAAGGTTACTTTATCACCGGCTCCTATTTTCTGACCTGTTTGTTTGTATGTATGTATGTATGTATGTATGTATGTATGTATGTATGTATGTATGTTCGTATGTATGTTCGTATGTATGTTCGAATGTATGTTTCGAATGTATGTTTCGAATGTATGTTCGAATGTATGTTATGTATGTATGTTCGAATGTATGTTCGTCTGTATGTATGTATGTATGTTTGTCTGCGTGTATGTTTGTTTGTATGTATGTATGTATGAATCATACAAACCGGTACAATGCGATTAGTCATACATATGCTCAAATGTATTTTATAAGAATCAAAATCTCAAAGGGTAAAGAAAAACCATTACTGCTTATAAGCATCATAACCATCATCAGCAGCAGTAATAACAAAGCCATCATCATCATTGTCATCATCATCACCTTGTTCGGTGTCCTCAAGGGCGAATGGTAGGAAGAAGGTTTCACCGCCCTGTTCATAGGTCACACGCCCCATGCCGTCCAGCAGGTTCGCATATTCACCGTTGCTCTGTTCTCGTTCAGTTTATTTAAAAAAATAAACTCAACATTCATTTATATAATCATTCATTCAATTAATTAATTAATTAACCAACCAATTAACTCACACACACACACACACACACACACACACACAAACTACCCCCATCTAACTCACCCCGGTATTCTTGATAGACTTGGCCTCGGCAAGCACTAAACCCTCCACAGCCTTCCCACTCAGAATTTCAACTTGAGAAGTGGGCGAGGAGGAAGCCACGTCGCTCAGCTTCACGATTAGCACTGCTACAGGCTTGCCTGTCCTCTTGTCTACTGACTCTTGAAATTCCACTTGATCTATGTACGTGTACGTGTGTGTGTGTGAGTGCGCGCGTGTATGTCTGTGATCATGTAGATGTGTGTATGTACTTGTGTGCGAATGTGTGTGCGTGTGTGAATTGACATTCATCGAATTATTCATTGATATATAAGCATATATAAGTATAAGATATCTTCAATTATTTATTGATTTATTTGAAAAATATTTATGAAAAAAAAATCCTCCAAAACAACCTCCAATAGCTAGATTAGTAAGGTTTCCTTTATATTCACTGTAGTGAAAAAAGAATCTGCCCTTTCTTTCAGTGCACTGAACAAAGCCATAGCTTGTCTGTGCATGTATGTATGTATGTATGTGTGTATGTATGTATGTATGTATGTATGTATGTATGTATGTGTGTGTGTGTGTACATACGTGTGTTTGATGTGAATAGCAACAAACAGAAAAAAACCGCACCAGTAACTTCTCGATGACGCCCTTCTCGCGACGTGCACTTTTGAACGTTGCAGTCGTACTTGTTATCGCATTGTTGCTCTCATTAGTTAGACCATCGGAGTTGAAATTCTGCTGCTGCTGCTGGCTGTAGGCAGATGTTGATGGAAAGGTCAGGGACTTGGATCGGCCGTACGGTTCCCTCCCTCCGGGACCTCCATTCTGATGGGCGCCAGGTAAAAATTGCCATAAGATTAGTCATTGTATTTACAAAGAATGTGTATAAATTGCAAAATTATTAGGCTATTTTGAATAAGCACAAACCAAATTAACCACTGAAACAAAACACTATAAAAATTATCAAGTATCAGATGAGTTATGATTAGATAAATTTCAGCATTTATTAAGCATGCCATTTGTGTCAGGTTATGGTGCCAAAAATAAACCGTTACAGTTGTAAAAATTAACTAATAAACTATCATTATTCAATATACAAATAGCCTTACTTTTGAAGCACTCATGGCTAGACTCTGGATGATGGAGAGTTCCTTTGTTAGTTTCTTGAACTTTGTTTTAATAATCTTCTCTTATTTAGTGTTTTTACTTTTCTATGTTTGTTTCAGTTTCCTTCTGATTAGTAGTTTTTACTTTCTTTTCAGATCTTAATTTTTCTTTTGACTTTTGGGCGATAATTTGTAGTTCGGTGATTAGTAAGGTAATAGGTGATTGTGCAGTAAATTGAATTGCAATTAGTGATCAGAAGTAATAAAAATAATTTCTAAGTTTACTTATTTTTAATCTTTTAGACTAAATCTTAGAGATATAAATAAATTATTTATTAATTTATTTATTTATTTAGGATGGATGGATGGATTGTTGCTTGTTGCTTTGAGTTTTTTTTAGACTAATTATCTGTAAAAAAAATTTATTTATATTAAAAAATGAAATATTCATTATAGTACAAATAATTAACTGAATTAACATGTAAAAAAATTATACAATATCTTCAAAAAGCTCCACACTACAATTTACTAAACATTTTTTGTATTTACTAATAAATTTTTATATTTATTATCTTAATTTGACAATTGAATATAAAAATTACTTAACATTAAGATTAAAATTATTAAATTTATCTAAACGAAATAATTATTATAAATAACTCATGCTCTTCTCATCTCATGTCATTGATTTATTTTTTTTATTTATATTTTATTTATATTTAACATTTCAAAAAATACAAGCCAAACAACGTGAAAATGAGTTTTTAAAACGATTAAATTATCATAAATTAATAATAAAACTGAATAATATATTAAAAGATAATAATAAATGCAAATTTTATCCAAAATTAAAGCTTGTTGTTAGGCAAATAAAACTGAATTCCATTTTTTACATGGACAAACACAGAAACTAAAAAATGTCCGTTGAACAATTTTTAAACGAAACGACATTCAACGAAATTGTAAAAATAAATGAATTTAATTATTTGAGAATAAATTGCAAATAAATGAAAATTTAAAAAAATGAAAAATAACGCAGAAAACAAATGAAATTAATTACCGACCCTGCGTTAAATTCTCCTCCCCAACTGTTCGTCGCTTTCGGTCTTTTTTTAGAGGATGTGCTTAAAAATATTCATTTGAAGCGCATTTAATTATGTCGGTATTTTTAACCGATACAAAAGCAGTTTATTCTAGTTATGTGACTATTCTCTTCTATTCTATATGAATATATGAGTTCCTCAATTCATTGATAGTTCGTTCTCGTAGCATTGCTCATATAGAAACTTTATGGCAATGTGGAAAATTTACTATAAAACTTTACGACAGTATGAAAAATTTACAAACCCACCAAATTTTCAAAAGTTTTATTAACAATTTTCAAAATTACTATAAACTACATAATTTATATATTGTAATGTTATACACAGTCTTAGTATATGAATACACCTATATACTTTTCAAATATATATATATATATTATAATAATAATAATTTGATAATATATATATATATATATGTATGTATATATATATATATATATATATATATATATATATATATATATGTTTCTTTGTTCATTGTTGAAAGTTTAATGGCGCGTGGTTTTGAAAAGTGAATTGATTAGGAATGTTTATGCGCTGTAGTTGAGTGAAATTAAGTGAAAGTTTTGCCTGGAAAGTCGTTTTAAAGTTGCCGGAATATAAATTATTAGTTAACTGTCCGTTTGGTGTTTGCTATTTGATTGATATTCGAAGGTATTTTAATAATTTCAATTATTTAGTTTTTAATTTTAAATTGTTTTATTCTTTTTCATCTTGTTTTTGCTGATCAGAGGTTTGTTTTATTTTAACATTATAATTAAAATTAATTCCATTTTTTCCAAACAAGTTATTGACAATTTTATACAAAATTTGTATTCAACATATATATATATACATTTGTATATAACAACAACATGGCATAAGCCAATAATCTAAGCTTCCATAACTCACCATTGTCGACATAAATAAATTAAAGTAAATTATAATTCAGATTATTACAGAATTATGTATATAAAATAAAAATTGTAAATGTATTATAACATTATAAAATTCATTTTCTGTCGCCAGATGTCGTTTGATTCTGGCTCGGCCACAACCTCTACGACGACAACTGATTCCTACTCAGATGCTAGTTGTAGCATAACCGGGGGCTATATCTCCATTCCATATACTGATTCCAGCTTAGATGGCGATAATCATAATTATAATAATTATATTCATAATTATAGTGATGATGATGGTGATGTTGATGGTAAGAGGCCTATGAAATCAAGGTTGGTTGGTGGCTCTAAGAGAGTTGAAAGAGGAAAGACATTGCAAAATTATAAAGGTTTCGGTTATTTCTTTTCTATGTCCCTCTCTCTTTTTTTCCCCCTCTATCTCTCTTTCTCTCTCTCTCTTTTTTCCCCCTCTATCTCTCTCTTTCTCTCTCTCTCTCTCTTCACTATTTCTATTTGGATATTCTTTGAATATATTAACATAATAATTGACAGATATTGTGTAGTATTTATTTTCACTTGCAATTTTACTTTCTCTCTCTCTCTTTCAACCTATCTCTATTATGTTATATATTATTTTACATTACTATTACTCTTTCAATTTGAGAGTTATAATTTGTTGGAGGCATAGGAACTTCTTATAATTTATGTTATTTACGTTATGTTACATTTTTTCATATACTTTCTATCCGTATAATATATATTTAAAAATAATTAATTTTTTAATATCCATAATATTTATGATAATTAATTTTTTGTTATCTATAGTATTTATGATAACTTTTTACCTTATAAATGTTTTTCATAGGGCAGTTGAGGCTTGACCTGACCGTACAATATGGATTCATTACAATGCACTGTTAGCTTAGAAGAATCTTTTCAATAATATTTCTACAATAATTTTCGTAGCAATCTTAGCATGTCTTATTTGTCATATCTACAAGTTATTTGTTGATACCTTTCTTAAATAAATGTCTACTTTTTATTATATTCATGTTTAAATTCATATTTTTTGTTATATTTATGTTTAATTTATATTTTTATTATATTTATGTTTAAATTCATATTTTTTGTTATATTTATGTTTAATTCATATTTTTAATATATTTATGTTTAATTCTTTTACTACAACAACGACTGTAAAAAATTCTCTGCATGGTTTAGTGATAGCTGGGAGGAATATATACAATGCCAGTAAGGATTTGCCCAACTGTTATGTTAAGGTTTCTCTCTTTTTTTTTAGTTTTTTTTTCAATTATTTTTCTTTAAGTCTTTTTTCATGAAAGTCTTTTCTTCATTTTTTTGTAGTTTTGCTTTGTTGTTTCTTGTTTTGCTCTTGTTGTTTCCTTGCTCTGTTTCTCAATTTTTATTTTTTAATTTCTCTCTAATTTTATCAAATTTGCTTAAATTAAATTAGTATCTTAAATAATAATAATAATTATTGTGATAATATTTATATTAATAATTTTAACAAAGATGATATTAAAAAATATTATCTTCAATAATAATAATAATAATTATTATTGTGATAATATTTATATTATTAATTTTAACAAAGATGATAATAAAAACAACTAAAAAAAGGCACTATAAATTACACTTTTATTGAAACAATCACAAAACGCTTGCGACAACTTACGGTCGAAACTTTTCTAGATGGAGTACATCCTGACTTGCAGCAACAACAACAACAAACTACCGACTACAACGACATCATTACCACCACTACCACCGACGTCATCATCATTAAGACTCCCGTCATCATCATCACCAATATGTCGATCCTCCGTTTATTACTCTTCGTCCAGGCCTGTCTTCGACGAAAAGCTCTCCATGTTAAAAAATTTTTTGTTTTATTTTATTATTTATTATTGTACAAAATTATTATTATTATCGGGTTATTATTTTATTATTTTTTTTATTGTTTTTGTTTTATTTTGCAGAGAGTATCCAACAAGAGATGAACGTCCAGCAAATAATAGTAATAATAATAATAATAATAGAAGACTATACATAACTGTTTGGCATTATTCTGATAAGACTGGGTTTGTTTGTTTGTTTGTTTGTTTGTTTGTTTGTTTGTTTGTTTGTTTGTTTGTTTGTTTGTTCGTTCGTTCGTTCGTTCGTTTGTTTGTTTGTTTGTATCAGTATATATGTATGTTGTCCAATTGACTATTCCAAGTGTGTTTTATTGAAGATAGTTTTATATGTGTGTGTGTGTCTTTGTATGTGTGTAATAAAAATAATAATAAATATAATAATAAATGATTTGTTCTGCCTCTTAGAGATGAGTTTATCGGCTGCATGTCTTTTGGCTTCAATAAGGAACACACTAACAACCATGTAACTATTCTTTTCCATTGCTAATTAATTTATCCTATCACATCTTTACATATAAACACACATACACACAAACATACATACACACACACACACACAAACATACATACACACACATACATACACACACACACATACATACATACACACACACATAAATACACACATACATACACACAGTTAGCTTCAGGCTGGTACTACATTCTAACTGAAAACATAGGCCGACTACGACACGTAACTGTTGTGGACGATGGGGCAGCTATCAAGAGTTATGCGACTCTCTATAACATATCAAAAGTATTTTGTTGTGTGTTGTACGTACGGTATTGTGTGGTATTTTTTGTTTGTATATAGAGTTGATAACTTTGACTGTATTTACTTGTTGTTGTAATATCCTTATTGTATTGTATTTTATTTGTTGTAATATCCTTATTGTATTGTATTGTATGTTTGTATGTTGATGCGTTGTATTGTACTGTATTGTATTGTGTTCATTTTATTGCATTGGGATGTAGAGTAGAAGAGAGAGTATCTGTGTGTGTGTGCGCGCGCGCGCGTGTGTGTGTGAAAGAGAGAGGGTGTGTGAAAGAGAGTGTGTGCGTGTGTTTTTTTGTTGCAGGTTTATTTATTCATTGATTTATGTATTCATTTCTTCAATTCACACACGTCTTCCCTTGAGGTTTTGCTCTGTCGAAACAAAAACGGTAGCTTTGGTTTCTCGATATATGGGTCACATCCGGTGAAAATATGCCGGGTTGACCCAATTTCATCGGCCAATCACCATGGCTTGCAGAGGGACGATATGATACTACGCATCGATGGCGTAGATGTCACGTGCATGCAGACCCAGCAAGTCGCTCTGACTATAAGGTTCTATTTTGTTCTTCCCCTCCTTCTTTTGAGTTGACGTTTGGAGTTGATGTTTTTAGTTGTATTTAGTGGGTTGTATGTATGTATGTATGTATGTATGTATGTATGTATGTATGTATGTATGTATGTATGTATACGTGTATGTGTGTTTGTTTGTTTTGGTTTGTTTGTTTTGGTTTTTATACAAACACACGCTAACATACAACCTACATACAACCTTGCACTTCAAACTGCAAACACACACAGACATACAAGCATAAATACACCGCAAACTTACAAACACTCCACACACTCACGTACACAATTGTACAAACACACACGCGCGCACACACGCATACTAACCACAGAAACGCCCGCTTCTACATGACAGCGATCATACGTCGCAACCCTACCTACCAAGCAGATCGCAACGACGACCGCCTAAGAAACGGCATTGTGGCCGTCTGGATAAAAAATTTCTTGAGTGGGCGCATCAGAGGGTCACGCCACGGGGGGGCTAAGGGACTACCTAGCGCCCCCGTTGATTTTCAGGGTGTTAATATGGTCGATTATGGCTGGCTTGATAGGGAAGATGATAATGTTAAGACATCTACTACTACTGCTACTGTTACTGGCAATAATGATAGCGATAATACTGATAAAAATGTTATTTATAATAAGAATAATAATAGCAGTAAAGACCTCGACGAAAATTCTAGAAACAATTATAAACGAAAGGAGGCTGATGATGATGATGACGGTGGTGATGGTGATGATATGAAAGGTTGTAGTAATGATGCCAATGTTGATGGTGGTGATAATGATAGTAAGAAAAGGTCAGATCGATGTCGGCCCCCTTTTAGAGATGTCCAACCAATATTACCAGTATATAATAATAAAATGAACAATAATAAAACTAATAATAATAAAAAAATAAATAATAATAACAATAATCAAATAAATTATATTAGTCATAGTAATATAAATTCTGATCATAATATTGACAAACCCGATTACATTAACAACGTGAGTACTATTGAAGCCAGTAACGTTCCGCTGCGATTGGCTGGCGATAATATGACGTATGTTAATTTGCCCCGCCCCCACAAACGTCATGCAGTAGCTGTTGGAGCGTCGTCGTCGTTGAAATCGCGTCGGCGTCACGATAAGCCGTATGCTGATAATAGCTATGAGGCTAAGAGGTTCAATCATCTTTTTGCCGTCAATAATAATCAAAAAAATAATAATGTCCATAATAATAATAACCATAATAATACAAATTATAGTCATAATAATGATGATGGTGATAGTAATAAGTCCAATAACAACGCAAATAATAATAATAAGGTGTGTCACTTCAACATTGAAGAAGATGATGATAACGATGGTGATGATGGTAACGACTGCGTTCGAACTGATTACAGAATTTATAGTCTAACAAATATTTATAATAACGAAAATAATAATAATAACATCAATAATAATAACATCAAAAATAATAACAATAACATCAGTAATAATGATGATGATGATGATGGTAGTGATAATCATATCAGCGGCGACAAATATAATGGTGGCTGTGATGATATTGATAATGCTTACGACGAAGATAATGGTGGTTGTGATGATGATGGTGATAATAATAAAGTATCATCACCACCACCATCATCAGTTATAAATAGGCCCCTCGACAGCCAATCAGGGCTCGAGAAGTTAGGTCATCCCGACCTTGACCTTGACCCCATTGAAGAGATCTCTGAACTCTCAGAAAGAAATCTGGCCATCGATTCCTTTTACTCTATCAACCAAAATTTAAGGAGTATTGATAGTAGTGCCAGCGGTAGTGTTAGTAATGATAATTGTGACGAATTCAACAATAGTCATTTTAATAATAATAATGATGAACTCTACGAAAGGTCAACTTACTCAGTCGATCATAATAATGATAATAATCTTTGTGGTAATGGTGGTGATGATGACGTTCTTAGAAGTTTATCTATATCATCTTCGTCTGTATCATCCTCATCTGTATCATCCTCATCTGTATCATCCTCATCTGTATCATCCTCATCTGTATCATCGTCTATCTCTATGGTATCACCATCTATCATACGGCAAATGCCCATGTTTTCCAGTAGTAATAATAATAATAGGAGAAAAAAAACAACAACAACATCATCATCAGTGACATCAGCACCACCACTAACTACAGCAACAACGACAACAACAACGTCATCAGTGTCAACGACGACGATTTCTAGTTCGAGTTTTAAGAGGCATGGTAGCTTTCGCAAGAGCGCCATTATGTCTAAACTGAAGAATATGTTTAATAAGCATTAAATGATTGATTGATTGATTAAAAAAATGATTGATTGAAAAAATGAATGAATGAATGAAAAGATTCATGTTGGGTTGTCTAGTCCGTTATTTAGGTATTGTATTATCTAATATACTATCACTATTTATATTATTCGCTTGTAAACTTGTCTCCAGTTTGCTAGCCAATCATAAATACTGCTATTATAAAATTTTGTAGTAGTAGAAGTAGCAGTAGTTATTGTAGAAGTAGTAGTAGTTGTCGAAGTAGTAGTACTAAGCAGCCTATGTTATTAGCACTATTTTTGTCTCATTATTATTGATGTTAATTTTTTACAAACGCATTTGATAACAGCTCGATAACATCTACCTAGAGTGCCTCTCAACTCTCAAGCATCTTTCAATGTTATGATTCCATGTTGTTAGACGAATAAATATTGAATTATGTCTGGTATTTTTATATTTTTTACAAATTTTGACATGGAATTCTCACGTAGTTAGAATAGGATTGGTGTAAAATATTCGTGTGTGTGTGTGTTTTTACGTTTAATTTTTTTTCTTTAAGCAGGGCATTCTCTAAGTACAGTTACTCAAATCCTGTTATATTATTACGCAAAGGATTGCTTGCTCCACTGGCTTGATTGAATGGATTGACTGAATAGCTAGTTGGATTAATGAAATTATTGATTATTATTGAAATTTCATTCGTATTTAGATAAATTAAGTTGACTTTGTCGTGTCTTTCTTGCTTTAAAGATGTTTCGTGACAATATAGGTCAATATCTGATGATGTTCAGTGTATATTTTATGTTTTCCAACATTTTGAAATAAATATTTTGGAAATATATTGGCTTTTCCTTATTAAACTTTTTAAAAAAAATGTCTATTAAAAGAGAACGAAAGAATACAGTAAGTCATTTAGTGCATCAAAATGAACGTTTTGAAGCGGAAATTAACTATTGCGTGATCGAAATAAATGAATACAACATAATTATCGACTAAAACTTCCATTTCGAAGCAAAAATATACAGAAATAAAATGGAATAAAATTTCGGTTGTTCATAACAATGATGCAGCATATCTCCATTTTTCTTTGTTTCTATATGAAATGTATAATAGTACTTCCTTAACAATGGAACATTCTAGAACATTCGAGAACATTTTGACTTAGCGCTACTATAAGGAAGTTATTGCGCGAAAAATGCGCTCTATTTCACAACAGACACCCACCATTATCATTAAAATATAAATATTAATAAAACTTTTTAACACATTTAAAATAATCATTTTAAAAAAAATAAAATTTGCCATTTATTAATTATAAATATCTCAAATTCGTATCTCCGAATAGCGAACGAACAAGCTAGAAAACACGAGAAATTATATTACTACGCGTTAAAGCGTCCATGATTGTTATAAAAAGCCTTGGATACCGGCATTTCGATCAGAAAAACGTGCTCCGAATAAATTTGTTTGGTCGTCAGATTCTGCATTTCTCTGTCATTTTTGCTGTTTCTCAGAAGTTTCTACGTTGAATTACGAAGGTATTGTTTGTTCAGTTGTGAGGTTTTAATTCGTAATTGTTTTGCTTTCCTGCCGGCTATTTTAGTTTTTTTAGAAAGTTTCTTTGTTTTGTCTTTGTCAAAATTTTACAGTTTTAGTTTTAAAAATCAGAAATGTCAAGCAAATAGCTGCTATTAATAGCAATATATTTATTTAAGATGGTGTTTTGTGCCAGTAGTATTTAGACTTTTCATGATTTTGTCAAATATAAGAAAAGAAGATTGCTTCGTTTTGTTTTCTGTTGGTAGGTTGCATTATCATATTCATTCTTCAGTTAACAGTTTTTGTCTTGCTTACCTATCTACAGATGCCTGAACACGAAGAAAATGTTGAGACCGAAACCTTCGCCTTCCAGGCTGAGATTGCCCAGTTGATGAGTTTGATCATCAATACCTTCTATTCAAACAAAGAGGTAAATAGAAGCTACAAACAAACTGTTATGATTGTACAATGTGTTATTCATTAATTTAAAATAAAAACCTTCAACCTTGTTTAGGTTTTCCTTAGGGAGTTAATCTCTAACTCTTCTGATGCTCTTGACAAGATTCGTTATGAGAGCCTCACAGATCCATCAAAATTGGACAGTGGCAAAGACTTGTACATTAGAATTATTCCCAACAAAGCAGACAGAACAATCACCATCATTGATACTGGTATTGGCATGACCAAGGCAGATATGGTCAACAATTTGGGTACCATTGCCAAGTCAGGAACAAAGGCCTTTATGGAGGCTCTTCAGGCTGGAGCAGATATCAGTATGATTGGTCAGTTTGGTGTGGGTTTCTACTCTGCTTACCTGGTAGCAGACAGGGTTACAGTAACTAGCAAGCACAATGATGACGAGCAGTACACCTGGGAATCTGCAGCTGGTGGTAGCTTCACTGTCAGACAGGACACTACTGGGGAACCTCTGGGAAGAGGTACAAAAATAGTCCTGTACATCAAAGAAGATCAAACAGAATACATTGAGGAAAAGAAAATCAAAGAAATTGTTAAAAAACACAGTCAGTTTATTGGTTACCCCATCAAACTGCTCGTAGAGAAGGAGAGAGACAAAGAAGTTTCTGATGATGAGGAAGAAAAGAAGGAAGAAGTTGAGGAAGAAAAGAAAGAAGAGGACAAAGACAAGCCAAAGATTGAGGATCTGGATGATGATGAGGAGGATGAGGACGCGAACAAAGATAAGGATAAGAAAAAAAAGAAGAAGATCAAGGAAAAGTACACTGAAGATGAAGAGTTGAACAAAACAAAACCGTTGTGGACAAGAAATCCGGATGACATCTCAAAAGAGGAGTATGGAGAGTTCTACAAGTCATTGACCAATGACTGGGAAGATCATCTTGCTGTTAAGGTTGGTTGATGGTGTCTTTTATCTGTTGCTTAGTGGTGTCGTATTTGGTTTAGAGCTTTTTTAAAATTACTTTATAATTTTTTGCAGCACTTCAGTGTCGAAGGTCAGTTAGAGTTCCGTGCTCTGCTTTTTGTACCAAAAAGAGCTCCATTTGACCTTTTCGAAAACAAAAAGAAGCGCAACAACATCAAGTTGTATGTGCGTAGAGTTTTCATCATGGACAACTGTGAAGAACTCATCCCAGAGTACTTGAGTTTCATCAAGGGTGTCGTTGACAGTGAGGATTTGCCATTGAACATCTCAAGGGAGACTCTGCAGCAGAGTAAAATACTTAAGGTTGGTTTAGTTTACATTCTCATTGAGTGTTTCTGCATGAGATTTGTCTTTTTAAGTTGTATATTCTTTATGTTTACCAAAAAAAAATCATAGTGGCAATACATGATGAAAGATGCCCCCGACTGATGCACTGTTGCATCTGAGGTCAACAGCATCTTAACGTCCTATACTTTCTGATAGTGTTGCTATAAATTTTATTGTATTTAGACTGTGGTTGTGCCTAACAATTATATACATGACTATATAATTGTTTTACCTGATTTACTAGGTCATCAGGAAAAACCTGGTCAAGAAATGCCTGGAACTTTTTGATGACATCTGTGAAGATAAGGACAACTACAAGAAGTTCTATGAACAATTCAGCAAAAACATCAAGGTGTGTTTTACTATTAATCAGTTAGGCTATAGCTTTGTACTGTCGAATATAGCTTTGTACTGTCAAATTCTTTTTATTTGGATTTCAATGTGCTTGTAACGTGATGAGAAAACTTCTTTCCCCGGCATAATTGTTCATTCAAGAATTTGCTGATAAACCATCGCTAAACCTCTGACTACAAGCTTAAAAGTTTATTGAAATCTAATAAGTCTTTTGAGTTTCTAATGTGCTTGCAGATCTGTGCATGTGTGCATATTTAATTTTTATATTTTTCTATCCAGTTGGGCATCCACGAAGACTCAACAAACCGCAAGAAGCTCTCAGAATACCTCAGATTCCATTCATCACAATCCGGCGATGAACAGACCTCACTGAAAGATTATGTGTCCAGAATGAAGGAAAACCAAAAGTCTATCTACTACATCACTGGTGAGAGCAAGGAAGCTGTAGAGAACTCTGCATTTGTTGAAAGATTACGTAAACGAGGCTATGAAGTCCTGTACATGGTTGACCCCATTGACGAGTACGCCGTACAACAGCTCAAGGAATATGAAGGCAAAACATTAGTCTCTGTAACAAAGGAGGGTCTTGAGCTGCCAGAGGATGAAGAGGAAAAGAAGAGGCAAGAGGAAAACAAAGCCAAATTTGAGGGCCTCTGCAAGATCATGAAGGAGATCCTCGATAAGAAAGTGGAAAAGGTCACAGTTTCAAACAGATTGGTATCATCTCCTTGCTGCATAGTAACCAGTCAATATGGATGGTCTGCCAATATGGAACGCATCATGAAGGCGCAGGCACTTAGAGACACCAGCACTATGGGATACATGGCCGCCAAGAAACATCTCGAAATCAATCCTGATCACTCTATCATCAAGACGCTAAAAGAGAAGGTAGGCAGATGTGGTTGATTGATTGCTTGGTTGAATTGTTAATTGATTTATGATGAGTTGGCGCCGTATGTCATGTCCTTTCTTACATGAGTTTCTGTTATATCCATTGGCAGGCCGACAACGACAAGAACGATAAATCAGTGAAAGATTTGGTGATGCTGCTGTTTGAGACTTCCCTGCTCGCATCTGGTTTCTCACTGGAGGATCCCCAGATCCATGCATCGCGCATCCATCGTATGATCAAGTTGGGGTTGGGCATCGACGAAGAGGATCTCGCAGTACCGGCCAGTTCAGGAGCAGCCACGAATGCCACTGATGACGTTCCACCACTGGAGGGCGATGACGAAGATGCGTCAAAGATGGAGGAAGTAGATTAGATTAGATAATAGTTTGATAGATATGGCTGAGTTTTTGAATTGGTGGAACGGTTTATAATATTACAATCTGTGATGTTTCGGACGTTTGTTTGTTGACTTTGTACATTTGCTACCATTATTTTTCTGGAGTTAAAGTTCATCTTTTTTATTGCAAAAAGTTGAAGATTCGATAGCGAGTGATTCGGTGTGGTGTGGTGTGTTTATGGGGACTGTTTCAAACCTTTCATAATTTAATGTAGTGCATTGTTGGTGTAATCAAAATGTGACGTTTTGCTATTTGTATTTTTTTCAATGTTACATCATCATCATTAATGTTATAAAGTGCCGATCGTTGTCTGTCGGTGCTTGTGTAAGATCGAATTATTTATATAGTTTATACTTTGTTTATGTCATTCTTCACGTTTTTTAGGCCGAATTAATCTTTGTTAAATGTTCAATAAAAATAGTCTCCCCAATTATTTACTAGTTTTTTTCAATCGTTCTGGTGGGTCGTGAAGTCTATCCAGGTGTCGCGGTTGCTCTGTTGGAGTGCCAAGTGATCCTCGTGAATTAAATGGATCTCGTGAATTAAATGGATTGTGTATGCATTGACGAATCCTGATGTTTATTAAATGTGGCTAGAGAAATACCATTTATTCTCGTAGCTGAAACTACTTAAATTCGGTGTTTCATGATTGATTGATTTTTTAGTTTGAGTTGTGTATCACACATATTTGAATCATGTACGATGAAAATTCTATTCTCCTGAGACGTTGATTCGTTGGGAAAGGTTTGTATTTAAAGTACGTGCTTGGCAGGTTAGAATAATTAGTTTTCAAGGTGTTCAAATTCTACACTTGGCGTACTAGAATTTTTTAGTTTAAAAAATTTATTAAAACGTTGCAAAGCGTACCATATTTTTTATCGTCTACGTTCACTTATAAACGTTTCAAGCTTCCGAAATTGCCATTGATAAAAGTTAAATTTCCGAACGTTCTATCTCGTTTTTTTGAGCGAAGAATTCACTAATGATGGACAAAACATCGGAAGAGTTAGTAGATATTAATTTTAGATGAATATTTAATGTTAACCGATATTAAATTGGTTTTTTTATTTCAATTTTTCCTTTTGTCTCTTTGTCTTTTGCTCTTTTCTGCCCAGCTCCTACACTACACTAATCATCCAGATCCTACACTACCAACAACAGAACTCTATTTAACATTTTAGCATTGAAATTTTGATAAACCTCACTCTAACACCTTTCCTGCTTGTTGTTATTAATGAACTTTTCTATAATGAGCAAATATTTCATTTTGTAAAAGAAATTTCATATGATGATGATATGATGAAACAATGCTTTCATTGTTTTGTTATGTTACTCGCTATGATGTGTTACACAACTATATCGTTGTTGTCATCGTCGTCATCATCATCACCAGTCACTCACATGAACTTTGGATTTCTGTGTTGAAAATGATGATGTTAAAGATGTTGATCCTAAAATAAAAGATGTCGTTAAAATTTTTATTTATACCATTGCTGATTTTTGTTTTGCACAGAAAAAAGCGTGAACACCAAATCAAAGTGAAGGCAACCATTAATCAAAAGCTAATTGAAAGTGGAGAAAGAGAAAGGTCCGTGTGTGTGTGTATGTGTGTGTGTGTGTTTGTTTGCCACTAGCTCTTGTCTTTTTCAGTCATTTATTTATTCATATAAATCATTTTTATCTACTCATTCATTTGTTCATTCCATTTTCTTTTCATTTAAATTTTAAACTCATTCATTCATTTACCTGTTCATCAACTCATTCATTCATTCATATTCAGTAATTCATTCATTCATTTTTTATTTCACTCATTAACACTCTTTATAAAGATTGAAAGAACTGCTGAGAACCAGATTGATCGAGTGTGGCTGGAGAGATCAATTGAAACTTCATTGCAAAGGTCATTAATTTCATTGTGTTTAGTAGTCATAATTAAATATAAAATAATATTTATGTTATAATTTTTTTTAAATATTTAAAAAAAAATTCCAAAACTCAGAAATCGTCAAACAAAAGGGCTTGGAAAACATCACGGTCGATGACTTGGTCAGTGAGATAACACCAAGAGCCAGAAGTCATCGTTGTTATCACTATTATTTGATATTATAGTTGCAATTATTATTAATGTTATCATTATTTAATGTTAATTTATTACAATTTTGCTCCTAATTTGGCACAAAAAATTGATGGCAAAAAAGAACAACATCCTGCCACGTGTGGGACTCGGTCTCTGGGCGCTAAACGAAGATTGATTGATTGATTATTATTTATTGTCATATTAATCATTAGCTATTATTACTATAATAATTATTATAAATTATGATATTATGACTATAATTATCATTATTTGCTTTATTCTCCACTATCTTTTCATTGCGTTTAGCCATAATTAAATATAAAATAATATTTAAGTTATAATTTTTTTAAAGTACTTTTATATAACTTGCATGCTGTAACGGTTTCTGCTTCTTTCAGATCCTGACTTTTTAAAGAGTAATAAAAGAAAATATTACTTTTGCAGGCCTGGTCCCCGATGAGGTAAAGAAGGAGATGCTTCAGAGGATCAAGGCGTTCGTCGGCCAGCAGTCGAACGCGTGACTAGATTGGGCAAAGGTCTTCGTCCTCTTCATCACCACCAATTATGTAGGTCTGGTGTGGTCGCAGTCCATATCTTCGACACCATCGTCTGGGTCGAACTTTTTCTATTTGCTATTATTATTATTGATCGCCATCACAGGTATCATCATCTTCTTCCTTAACATATTCATCGTTTATTTTCTGTAAACATCATCATTATTATTGTTATTATTATTATTATTATTTATTTATTTCCTTTGCCGTGTACAACTTCAATTTTCTCTCATCAATTGTGTGTTTTTATGATGGTAATAAAAGGTTAAAAGCCCTTTCCATACTATGTTATTGTAGTTTTTGATTTACTTTTATTATTATTATTATTATTATTGTCTAACTATATTCATGTATATTTTTTTTGTATATATTTTCTAATTATATGTACTCTAATTATGTTAATGTTAGCTGTACAATTGATCAATTTGGTCGCTTTTGTTTGTGTTGTGTGGTGTAGAAACGTCGATTTTATGAGTGAATTTAATCAGGAACATTTGATTCTTACTTTGATTATTTGTTTGTTCATCCATTTATTCATTCGTTTATTCGTTCATTCATTTATTCGTTCGTTCATTCACGAGATGTCTTATCACTATCAATATTATTATCATTATTACTATTAGTTGTAGTAATATTGTTATTATTATTGTTATTTTTTACTCGTTTTTATTCAATTAGTGATACAGGTACCTCTAAAGCTACTGATAAAAATACGATAGAGACGATCTATTCATTTATTTATAATAACGTTATACAAACTATGTGTGTGTGTGTGTGTGTGTTTGTCTGTGTGTGTTTGTATGTGTGTGTGTAATTGTGTGTTCGCTCACTAATATAGATTAACTAGATAAACCTTATATTGATAGAAAACAATTTTTATAGGTATCTAATTAAGGAACGTTAATTAGTTAGTTAATTAATTAATTAAAAAATATTTATAAAATGACGACGAATAAAAATGTTATTACAATAACAAGGAATGATAATATTAATTAATTAATATAATATTAATTAATTGTAGTAATAATAAATAAGTACATTGAGACAATTTCGGTTAGACAGTTGGTACAATACAACGCTTTTGTAACGAATTTTTTTCTAACATTTCTACTGCAAATATGAAAAATATAATATATTTTAGTTTGTATGTATAGATGTGTGTGTGTGTGTGTGAGAATTTTTTTTGACAAAATTTTGACTAAGTTTCAGGTAACACGCACATAACAAGACGAAACATTCAATTTTACAGGTAACACTTGGCAGAGTACTACTACTACTACAACACATTTTTTTTATTCTGCCGTAAAAATCATTTGAGATTATATAATTGGTTTATTACTAATTGGTTTCTCCAATTTAATTGAGGTACTATTCAAATTTTCCAAATTAATCGGAGTCAGATGACGAATTTTCGCTTCCGTCTTCAGGAGCGGCTTTCGGTGCATTTGAATCCGGTTCCTCCGCGGCCGGCAGGACTGGCTTCAGAGGTGCCATAATATCTTCAGACTGTGGCTTCACCTTATCAGTAAATTCCATCTCAATGGTGTACTCGTACTTGGCTAGATGCCGCACCCATTTGTCCGCGGGTTCGTCCGCCCCGTTGCTGATGGCTATCGATCTAACTTGGGCCCTTGATACGGTACTGTTTGCCATGGCGTACTCCACATGGACGTATTTGTCCAGTTGCTCTGGCATCTTGTCGTGGGGGGCCAGGTCGATGTTGATCACCATCAGGTGCGTTTTGTAAGCCCCTGCAAGTTAGGGGTTTTGTTGGGTTTCGGGTTTCTTACTTTTTGATTTATTTTATTTATGGATACTTGGAAATATGTTGTGTTAATTGAAGAATGAAAAGAGTGGTAGTGGTGACATCACATGAACTGGGTTTAATAGCAGACTACGGAACATATAAGGAAAGCTATTATTACGATCATAAATTAAAATCATTGCTAAAAATTATAACTTTCAAAAACATCGGCAAATAAAAGAGAAAAATAACTGGCCCTAAATCGACCTTCGTTTCTCTCGGGTAGCTGATCGATCCTCCAAACAACAGCGTGAAATGCTTGCTCGTATTTGGCAAGCCCCGTCGATACCTCGATCAAACTTGGTGGGAGGATACCCTGAGCGAATGCGGTCAATCTGCGGTGGTCGGTGCGTGCGTTTTGTGTGGGGGGTGTTTGTTAGCTTTTGAATTTGTTTCGAAAAATCGTAAGTGTCGATAGAAAATTTGGAAAAGATCGGTAAAAAACTAATTTATAATCAATTCACATCATTAAACATCAATGAGACGCAATTTAAGCGTCAATTAAACGTCATATATTAGGAAATTTTGAAAAGAAAATCTATTAACGTCAACCAAACACCAATTGAACATAAATTAATCATCATTTAAAGACAACCTTTCCAATCCTTTTATCTTCCCAGCCTTTCTTTTCGAGGAATGCACAGCTCCGTACTTGAACCGTTTCTCCACTCTGAAGAGATAGACCCAATCTTCCGGTATGGGGAATCGAATCTGAATGTCTTCGCAGGGCGTTTGTGCAGCCCTCCTACTGTTGCTGTAGTAACCTGTCACCATCACTTCGATCCTCACCTCGATATGGCGCTCCACGATCGACATTTGGACTCGAATTTGAAGCGGCAGTTCGATATTTATGCGAGGGCGAACTCGAAAGCGGAGTAACTCATACCGAACCGCATCTAGAGGGTTGAGCTTGACTACTTTTGTCTCTTCGAATACTTCTTTGTCTATTGTCCCGTGTAGTTCGTAGTCTTCTATGCGTATCCATTCCTCAGTTTTTATCGGTATGATGTCCAGTCTACCGACGATCTCTTTGCCTCTTCTACGCTTGTCATTGATTCCAACTTCAATGATCGGAGATTCGGATAAGAATGCGAGACAGAATATTCTAACACGTGCTTTGTGGTTCGTTATGTGTCCGTCTGTTTGTTTTTAGTTGTTTGTATATTTGTTCATTCATTTATTTATTTATATTATAGCATTAGTTATTTGTGGCTTAATGCTTTCAACATAATTTGCAAAGCCATCAAAAATTTATTGCGAATTGAACACAAGAGTTAAATCATTAAAAATTATGATTATTAGCATAAACAATTAACGAATTTATTGTAATCGATATGAGGCTAGCAGTAATTAAATGTAAAACCCTTCCTACCCTTGTCAATGTCGGCGTAGTACTCGTCTTGCACATCAACAGTTATCTCATCCTTCGTGTAGGAGGCAGACTTCCCCCTGATTGCTTTCAACGAGAACAAGACGTCTTCAACAGCATTCATAAAACTTTTAACCTCTCCATATTCCAACGTTCCGAATTTCAACAGCTCCAAAGCGTTTGCCGCGTGATCAAGGATCATCGTTGCTTTTGGTTTGTGCATGAGATCCTTCAATCCCTTCAAATCGCGAATTCTCGTTAAATCGCTGATGGTTGGGGCGATCCTCTCTGTCTTCATGCCAACAGTTTCCTTGTAATTCATCTGCTGAATTTTAACCGTGTGGCACTTTCCGAACTGATCCAACTGCTGCAGACCGAGGCTGCAAATGTTGTGCGTCGGCTGCAGAGCCAACTCGTACAGACACTCCTGGTCCTTATCATTCGGGAAGATTTTAATCATCGGCGTGTCGTTCGATACTAAAATTCTAACGTAGGCAGGCTTCCAGAACCTGTTCTGGGTCAGTTTTTTCTTGAAAGGTTGTCGGAGAAGCAAGTTCCATCCGTGGTCGTAGTCCAGTCTGGGATGGTAAGGTGGCAGAGGTTCCAAGTTTTCTTCAGGTTCCTCGAAAGATTCGTCAAACGAGCCGCTTTTTTTCACTTCGTCACCATCCTCTCCTTCATCGAGATCTGCAAAATTTGCAAAATTTTCGTCATTTTGATCGACAGCTGGATCGCCAAAAGGATTTTTTGTAAAATCGTCCTCAGTGGCGTCTGTAGCAATGGGAGGAAACGCGTCGTCGTCGTCGTGGATTGTCTGGAATGGATCGAAGTTGGAATTATTTTCATCGAGAATGGTGGCAAATGGATTGAACGCATCAACTGCTGCGCTGTCGGCGTTCGTATTGAAGAGGCTGTCGTCAGCTGCTGCCGTGTTTGTGAGGCTGGCTGCAAACGGGTTACCTGTTTAAATTTTATTCAAAACTTGATTCATATGTTTTTCTTACTATAATTTCATTTCATTTTATTGAAATTTTATTTCATTTAAATTTAATTGACGTATTTTTATTAGGAATTATTTAGATTTTTATGCATCTCATTATAAATCGCAATTCAAACTTAAATTTATATCTAAAATTAAACTATGAACTAAAATTTTGCTAAATCACAGCCTTAAAAAGATAAAAAATTAATAGCTAATACATCAAAATTAAAAAAAAACCATTAACTCCAACAAATTTGATCGAAAACATACAGACCTATCTCATCATTAAAAGGGCTGGGCCCTTCGGCGTCGGTATCAATATCGGTGTGTTCCCATTTTGTAGTTGCTTCCTTCAGAGCGATACTGAACGGGTTCGTCAATTTTGCCGATCCGCTATTCGACGGTCTCGGTCTAGCTCTGGCTACGCCGCTATTGTTGCTATTGGTGACGTCATTTGTGCTGTTGTTGTTTGTGGTGATAGATGAGTCGTTGAGGAAGGCGTCCATTTTGTTTTCTGATTCCTGGCTGAATACTATAGATGGCGCTTTTGTTGCGTCATCGTCGTTTGACGATTCATTATCTTTGATAGCTGTTTGTTTTTTTTTTTCATTTAACAGTTAATAATTAATAATTAGATTGTATAATAATTATGTTCTATTTGTTATGTATAATAGTGGTGAGTAATTACAATTGATTAATCCATTTGTTCATATGATAAATTTTTACAATAATAAAAAAATGAAAACACCTCTTTCCTCCTCTTCATCATCTTTCTTCATATTTTTCTCACCGCCATCTTTTTTTACGTCACTTCCGGCCATTTTATGATCGTCTTCCGGAGCAAAATTAATGTCGACGTTGAAATCTGATGAGAGGTCTTTATCACCTGAACCATCCAATCCGTCGTCTGTACCTGGTTGGTGGTTGGTTGGTTGGTCGGTTGGCTGGTTGGTTGGTTAGTTTGTTCGTTCGTTCGTTCGTTGGTTGATTGGTTAATTGGTTGGTTGGTTGGTTGGTTTGTTAGTCGGTTGGTTGTTTGGCTGGTTGGTTGGTTGGTTAGTTGGTTGGTTGGCTGGTTGGTTGGTCGGTTGGTTGGTTGAATGATTGGTTAAATGTGTGGTTATTTAATTGGTGGGCTTATTGATTAAGTGAATAGAATAATTGATTGATTGATTGATTGATTAATTGGTTGATTGATTGGTTTAGGAGATAAGGACCTTTCATTAGATTTCAACATTCATTCAAAAGCATGAAAAATTTGCATGCAAACAAACATACGAACATTCACACACATTAACATACAGAGACACACCTGCATATAAACAAACTAACAAGCATACTAACATACAAAAAAAAACATACAAAAAAACAAACAAACCAACCCCTCATTAAATCTTCCCACAAATTCGAATTGACTTCCTTATCGGCTACAGTTGTTGTAACGGTTTCAATAACTTCTGACGTAGCTATAACGTCATTTTCAGATTTTGTAATATCTTTTGTAGTAGTAGTAGTAATATCAATAGTAGCAGTAGTAGTAGTAGCAGTAATAGTAGCAGTAGTAGTAGTAGCAGTAGTAGTTGTAAAAAAATGTATTCATTAATTAGTATGATCTTAAATTAATTGCTTTTATTATGACATTAAAATATCTTATATTAATTATGTTATGAATGAATGAATGAATGAATTAATTAATTAACAATTTAATTAATTAATTAACTAACTAATGAATAAATATGAACTAACTGTTTTTTTCAGCACAATTAAAATTTTCATCATTGTCTTTAGCGTTCATCTCAATGTTAATATCTTTATCAGTTGCCATATCAAAATAAATTTGTTCTTTTATTTGTTTATTCAGTCAATAATTAATATAATTTTTTACTCCTTCCTTTCTTCATTCATTTTTTCATTTATTTATTCGTTCAGTCGTTCATTTAGCTTTTAATGCATATAGGTATCCGATGTTTGAAATTGAATGATGGCTGGATTCAAATACAAATACAGCATAGCAATAAGATAAAATACTTTTACATATGATGCCAACAATATTACAATTTCTTTTATAATTAGTTCTTTAATTAATTATTATCTGTAACTAATTATCATAATTTATTCAATAACCCAGGCAGCTAATTAACATAATTAACTCAATTAAGATTTGTGGAGAAAAATAAAGAAAAACAGATTTATAAATAAAATTCTGAATTAAAGCGTAAGATGGCGCTTCAATAATACGCACGTATGTATGTATGTATGTATTAATGTATGTATGTATGTATGTTTATATGTATGTATAAATGTATGTATGTATGTATGTATGTATGTATGTATGTATGTATGTATGTATGTATGTATGTATGTATGTATGTATGTATGTATGTATGTATGTATGTATGTATGTATGTATGTATGTATGTATGTATGTAAGTATGTATGTATATATCTATGTATGTATGTATGGATGTATGTATGTATGTACAAATTTATGTATGTATGTATGTATGTATGTATGTATGTATGTATGTATGTATGTATGTATGTATGTATGTATGTATGTATGTATGTATGTATGAATGTTTGTATAAAACTTTTGTACACATTTTGTACACCATCAAAGAAGCATGTTCCTTCCTTGTCTCTTTCTATGTTTATACCTCTTTGAGTCTTTGTATGTTTGTATGTATATGTATATATGTGCGTGTGTGTATTTCAATGCATGTACGCGTGTATGTATGTTTGTATGTATGTATGTATGTATGTTTGTTTGTTTGTTTGTATTTATGATTGTCGAGATGT